GGACTTTGCTGATACGAAGCACCGTCTCTGAGGTTAGTTTCGGACATGTATTTCTCACAACAGTTCCTTCCACCTGCATGGTTAAGATTAGTTTCTTAGTCCTCTGAGCTAATACTATGTGTAACAGATGTTATTCCCGGCTACCGTCAAGCAACAGCAAGACGTGCTGTGATTGTATCATGGGTTACAATGCCTACAGTTAAGCCCCGCAAACGTCGCCCACGCTAGCAGGGCCAAAAGGAACAAACGATATAAAGAGAGGAAAGTCTAACATTACGGGTTGGTTTTGCAATAAAGCAGAACCATCCTCTGCAACGAGATTGTAGAACGAGTGTGTTGCTTCATCCAAGCAAACAGTATATCTCTGAACAGCGGCTTACTTATGAACAGAACAGTGATGCCCTTTACCCGAGCAGATCGGACTTGGAGGTGCCGGCCATAAAATCTGCTCACTACCATTGTCCAGCGGTTGATCGTAACCGCTGGTGCATCGTTCGGCAGGTCACAAGTACCTCCTGTGCCTTAGGTCCAAGTGAGCCGCTCGCAGCTATCAGTTCCAGGGCTTTTGCTGCCTTGCAATTTCGGGAATACGTCAGTGTGCCAACAAGCCAACGGCTAACAATAATTGCCTGCCCAGGAGTTGGCGCTTGCGTTATTCGGGAAAAGATATTATGAACATAAAAATCACTAGCTGGTATTCCCTGACGTCGGGAACCATGTGTGGCTCGATTCTGCTTCAAATGGTACGTCTATTACAAACTTTGATCTGAAGCATATTATTATGAAAAATCAACCACTTGTATTTCGAGAGCACATGCTGAATGAAGTGTTTCAGATTACGTCTCCGGGGTGATGTTCATTCAGTTGACCGACGAAGGTTGCCCGCGGATGGAGATGAAACCTGGAGGAACCGTTTATTGCAACTCGGCATATCGTGCGACATAATTGAGCAAAGCCAATAAACTGGGTGGGTTTCTGTCGATCCGCAAATCTATCTGCGAATGCAAAAGAGCAAAGCACCACGTATCCGACAATTGCTTTATATCCCTCGTCACATGAAGACAACAAGTTGAAACGTCACTATCAAGAGGCACGGTCAGTAAGAGCAAAAATGAGCTGGTCAATTCGGTATGAAGGCTTGAACCTAAATGTTGTTTCTCGAAACTCAATGGAATACGTTAAACATGGTCTGCAATGACAGAGAATCGTTGTGTCGTACAAAGTAGCGCATGATAATCGACCGATGACAAAAGCCTTCTGTACAGGCTTGCTTGACTGGCATCAAATTTCAAAACCCCTTAAGACCAGCAAAATAAGTCCAAATGTTCATTCGGAATTTGCCACTCATAAAGCTGCCGAAAATTCTTCGACAGCAACGACCAGTTTCACCCTTATTGGGGCTCATCAGGTGGGCGCAATCCCCGAGTTATCGTCAACCTTACGTTCTACTTGAAGCCACATTTAACGAAATTAGCGAAATGCACTCATTTGCAAACGAATTCGGTTCTTCGAGAGACTCACTTGGAGCCCAGCTGAATTTCTCATTTGTGAGGTTTCCAGGCAAATGAATGTACTTCACCGGGCAACTACAACATGTGGTGGCCTTGTGCAGCACGTTCAGCTGCCTGAAAGCATAAAAAAGCGATTCAGCTGGGTTTCAGGTGAGTCTCTCACAAAACCGAATTTGTTTGCAAATGAGTGCATTTTGCTGAGTCGACATGTCAGCTTACGGCAAAAATACGTGACCAACTGGAACATCCCCATTCGTGGCCGAACTACTGCGTCGACACAGTTTTAATACGGGCGTAATTCCTTCGTTCCGTGTGTGACCAGTTCAGCCAGATTTCCCTCTGACGGAAGTCAACCAAGACCGGTTTTCCTTACGCAAATTTAAAAAAGGATGAATTTTCCATGTTCTCAATACATTCTCATCTTTATCCTCCTCAATGTGGCGCGAAATGCTGCTATCACGTTACTAGAACGAGGATCTGGCGATGATGCTCCACTTTCATTACAATGGTTGTGATGTCTTTTCTTTTCAGGTTATCTCTGCACCGCAACCATCTGCCGGCTGTACAGGCTGTTTCAACAAGCGTCATTAGAGACAGAACATCATACGCGAGCTGTTCGTTGAAGACCGGATTGCGCGGACTGGATAGTTAGTCTAACAGAGATTAAGCGTGTTGCAATACAAGTCGTCAGAATTTCATCTACATACGGATTTCCCGTAGCGTTCTAGAACGAACATGATTGGACGTAACCACTTGATTACGAAGCTTCATTCATTCGTATGTAAGCAAAGCGCCGCGTTGAGATACAAATAATTGCGATTATTGTCGTTTTTGAGGGTTCAAAGTACTGGAACAAAAAGCACAAGGTGGCATTCATTTGCCATATTTGTTGTCGGAGAATGTCCCACTCTGCCATGAAACCATGGGTAGCTATCCGTGTTTGCTAAAACAAAGGTTTGTTTTGAAAATCACCGCGTCATTCACGAACATAAACGACCAGACTAAGTTCCTTGAAACAACGTATTAAGCATCCCAAACCGTAGATGAATACAGGAGGTTGGCAGATTCTGTTCCACTTCATGGTAAATAGGCTGTTCACTTGAAGCTGTCTACGCAAGAATAAATTATGACCTACAAAGTGGTAACCATGCCGATTATTTACACACTTTTCTACGATCTACTGTTACGGTATTATTTTTTGAAATGTTTCTGTGGGCCCGTGGGCATAAAAATGCAAAACGAATAGGGTAGGGACCCGTTGAGTTTGCAGACGTTGGCTAGCACACGCAAAATCTCCCACCAGAGACTTTTTCACTATACTCGATTCGTCCAAAATCTTATAGGTATGGACAAACCTGAAGGAGTGTTAGTTGATTTGGCAGCCAGAAATTTTCCAAGCGCTGGGCCACATATAAGGTTCTCAAGCTCGGAGCACACATTCGTTGGGCCAAATTTTCTCTCATTTCCATTAATTGCTGCGTGGGGTACCTTCCTACGACGGTTGTCCACGTTCCTTCTAGAGCCTATTTCAACGCTCTACTGGACGCTTTTCTATACAAATACTTGAGTTGGCAAGCTTAGTACCCCACGCTGAGAACATAAAGAGCAGTGTTACACTGTTTCATTTGTGCCTTTCAGGTGAACGACAACTGCTGAACGGCAATAACCAAACCAACCTGGGAAACTTTGGCAAAAGCCCCGATCCCATGTACCAATCCGTGAATCCTTGAATCCGTGGCTAATTGTAGACAGTACCTGATTTATGCTTGGCACATCTGGTATACATAACCTTATTATCAGGAAGGTCGTACCCATGTCTCTGGCAGCTGGCTTGTTGTAAAGTCTGCGGGACCGATGTGCCCGTACGTTGGAAATCGGTTTCGTTTTTCCCTCGTGCAAATTTGTGAAAGAATTCTTTCACCGTTGAATCTATTCACAGAGTAAACACGGGTTCCTTGTTGGATTTTCTTACTCTAACGTAACAGTTACGTGATGACCCCTGTTATTTAGCGCTCACTTCCTATTGTGCACCCAGTCTCAAGCATGACGTTGATGAATACAGACGGCTTTCTGCAATAATCGATGGACCACGATAGCTGTGGGTGAATCGGCTGCCCGTCGAACGTAAGACGCGGTGCAGTGCCACACCTGCGAGGCCCTGTGGTACTTTAAATGCGCGGGTTCACAGGACGACGGTGTAAGCCAGTTAGCTGACTCCCCTGACACGTTTGTCTGCGCCAGTTGCCTCTACATTGAGGGTGCAATGCATGCCGGAGCTTAAAAGAGGGCCACCAAAATCGAAACCCATCTGCATTGCAGAATCAGAAAGACCGGTGAGAGCGTTTGGATTTGATCAAGATACTGCACACGAAAATGGGGCTTCTTTCTAAGGTGCCGGAGGATGCAAACACAAAGAACGCAGCGATTTGGACGAAAGTTGATGGGGAACTTTCTTCGCTGAACGAGTTCTTCATGTTATCTATACCGGGTCGGCTGGCTGCGAGGAAAGTCCTGCGGCTCTCTGATGAGGCAGTAGAGGCCGCCACGGCGTCTCTAGTGGACGGGCGCCCAGGGGAGAGCAGAATGATCATTTTGGGGGCATTCTCCAGAAAAACCATGCCAACAAAGCTGACACAATCACTTCTTGGTAGTGTCCTCACTAAACCTGATCACCAATCGCTTCACGCGGAATGGTTACGCCATTGTATAGAACCATTGTCTGGAAAGTTCACAAGGCTAACGTGATGTTCACCCCAAAAAACCCAGCGCGCAGTTGGATGAGCCGCAGGCTACCTAAAAGGATTCGGCGCCTTCTGGAAAAAAGCCCTTAGCGTTTTCAAAAGCTGACTACAGGAGACACAGAAGATGAGCTGGCACTTCACAAAATGCGGAACCACTGTAAATCAGAAATCCGCCATTGGAATATACGAAAACGAGCCACTAACTAGGACCTCGCCCGGAAAAAAACAGAAATGTACTAATCAAATACATGAGACCTTGCCGCAGAAACTGGCCATCCGCGTTCTCCTTGGAGATAGGAATGGAGAACCCACGAGTGACCCAACAGTGGTATCTGAGGTTTACAGAGAACAATATGGTCTATATTCAGCCCCAGCGTATTCGTCACATTCAGTCTTGTCAGGGCGTAAGTACAAACAGCCTCCAACCAACTTGGTCTTCACGGTGAAGGACAGTCGCCAACTCTTGCTCAAGATCAACACATTCTGCAAGTTGGGGCCCGACGAGGTCCTTTCGAGAATGCTGGATGAAACGTCGTTTACACTGGCAAATCAATTATACCTGGTGTTTCGTCAATCGTTTGAAGAAGACCGCCTTCTCTCTGCTCGGAAGGAAGAGATTGTCATGCCAAAATATAAAAATGGTGACCGACTATCGCCTGGGAGCTACGGACCTATGAGCCTTACTTCCAACGACTTGATATCTACAGCTCAACGCTGATATCCCCCAAACCGTTCCTGCGTGTCAAACATGCTCGTGTTTATGGAAGGTTTAACCCAAGCTGAGGACGATCGACTTATATCGGATACCATATTTTACGACTTCTCAGAAGCGTTTGATAGGAGTCCACACATCCCGCTGCTCCACAAACTCGAGTCTCACGGGATTCAACGAGCAATCCTACACTGGATCAAGGCGTTCTTATCAGACAGACTATTCCGAGTGAAGGTAGGCTCAATCTACTCTCCAGCGCCGGTCTCTATTGAAGTTCGTCATGGCTCCGTTTTGATACCACTGCCATTTCTGATATACGTCAACGACCTCTCAGATATTCTTGAAAGTCCACGCCTACGTTTTGCAGACGGCTTGAAATTCTGGAGTTCCGATGGCAGTGCCCTCCAAGTGGATGTAGACGCTGCCAAGCAGTGGTCGTTGGACCGGCACATTTCTCTGAATGACGAAAAGTGCGTCCATGTTATTTGGAGGAGAATCGGTGAATGCCTTTGTTCTGTATGGCGAAAAAAGACCAGAAAACGTTATGGGGATAGGCCCTAAAAGGGCTATGGGTATTTGGGTTTCTTCAAACTTGTTCTTCTCACTGCACTATGAGAGATCGGCCTAAAAGGCAATTGGCATTCTACGGATGATTCGACCCACCTTCTCTCGTATGAATCGCTTAACCTTTCAAATACTCAGTGCGGCCTACGTCAGACCGCTCCTGGAATGCGCCAACCAAGTTGTCTACTCAGGACGCACGAAAGACGTCACCCTCGTTGAGCGTGTCCAGCGATCCGATACGAGAATGGTTGCCGGCCTCAAATCCACAGAGTACGAAAAGCGCCTCGCGGTGCTTGACCTCTTTCCTCCGAAGTATCGTCTCCTCCGAGGGGACATAGTTCTTACTTATGCCCTTTTGAACAATGCTTGGTCAGTACAGGTTTTCCCGTTGACCCAGCAAACACACGGTGGGGACATGGCGAGAAAATTTTCAAGCGCAGAGCGCACACACTCATTGGGCAAAATTTTTTCTCATTTCGGGTAGTAGCTGCGTGGAATGGCCTCTCTCTGACGGTCGTCCACACTCCCTCTAGAACCAAATTCAAAGCACTATCAGACATTTATCTATGCGAATCTTCGCGGTTGCAAGTATACTGTCCCGCGCTGAGAACGTAAAGAGTAATGCTACGCCCTTTTTTACTTGTGCCCTCCAGGTGAACAACAACCACTGAACAACAAGAATAAAACCGACCCGGGAAACTTGGGAAAATCCTCGATCCAGTGTATCAATCATTGAATCAGTTTATGTTTGTTTAACTGTTCTAAAATCGCACTAACAGCAGTCACTTTAACTCCGACGCCCGTTTGTTGTTGGGACTGAAGGATGAGTGAGTTTCCGATCATTCGGTCTTTTGGTACCGCATGATTTTCGAAAATTAAGTAGCGGTGTGTGTCAGTGGCATTTATTTACTGGACTTGTTGCCGTTTGGTTTTGAATGTAGTTATCCATCGATCTCCATGATGTCTGAATTTTCGTCGTAGGATAACGTTGGTTCCAACTCTAAATATATGGGGATGAAATAAGTTCCAGCAATGCGTAAGTGTTGCAGCCGGTAGTTTCAATGCGAAACCACTAGAATTCTATGACCGTACAGTGATTTCGAGCCCGCATGCATTTTCGCGGATGAATATCACCATTACCACAACTTTTCGATTCTTCATTTTGGTGACCTATGAGGAGTTCATGAAAGGCTCCGTAGGATTTCCATATCACTATTTCCACAACTTTTCGACTTTTCATGTTTGTGACCTATGAGGAGTTTATTGAAGGCTCCGTAGGATAATAATAATAAATAGAACCTTAATTTGGTTTATTTGCACTGTAACAGCGTTTTTAAGTGTTTGTTCCAGTCGCTCTCCGTCTTTGCGTAGGCGTAACGCTTTTTGAGATAAGCCCCGGCGACTTACACGGTCTCTACATGCATGTGATGGGAGTGTTTTTGACACAAATCAGTGATTCCTAAAGTGCCATTCAGCGACTACGTATAAATATACAGTCGAAAATGAGGTAGTTATCGCGCAGGTCCAATTTGTATTTGACGAACTAACGATAAACTGTTCCCGAGTTTGTGGTAATAGCATTCTGACGACACAACTGCGGAAGGTTTGGAACCATGGGTGTCCCTTCTAAATTCTCATCTATGAGTTCGAACTCCTGGGAATGTTTATGGGTATATGGCAAGCTGTCGCGCCCGTCACGAAGATAACATTATCCTACCGCGACGACTTGTGTGATCTTAAGATTCATTACGTTATACGGGAGGTTACCATGCGACTCACAATCCCTTATCCCGGGTTGATCGGTGGTTTCTTCGTGCTCCATGTTGAAGTTTGAAACATTTGTGGTTAGACATTTGAACCAATGACTTGTTGAGGACCGTAATCGTTCTCCTGTTTAGGTTTTGGGCGCGTCGACAGTATCTCTGCTCACATACCACCATCGTCACCACAACTGAAGACACTGTCATGTCACATTGGCCGTCACTTAGTGTCACCCACCGGGTAACTCTGCTTGCCGCATACATTGAGGCGGGGGAATGAAAACATACTAATGTTGATGCCTCGCTTTCTTATTCACAGACCTTTCCCCCTCGGCTCGCCTGGTTAAAAACACTTTTGTGATAGGCTATAGCTGGAACACCAGTCCCATTCGTCTGCAATCGGACTTAGCAGCAACATATGCGGATCAGCCGCCGCTGACAGCCTCAGGCATTTCGAAATCACTCTGAACATCGAGGTCCGGTGTGTTCGACCACGTTCATTGTTCGCTTTCCGTAACAAGATTCGCCAGGTTCACTGATCTAACTGTCTGTTGCGAGAGTAGAGTAGTTCCAGGACGAGATTAGAAGGAAGACAATAGAAGGGCGTAATGTACGCTTTAAACGTCTAATAACGTTAGTACATGAACTGAAAATATAGCTTGAGAATTACGAGTTAGTGATCTGTGCAAAGGTATGGTTTGTTAGTCACAACATTCTCCCCGCCTTGGAATAAGTGTGTACTTGGGGTTTTCCACCTTGTTTGAGGAGAACTGGATAAAAACCGACCGGTCATAGTGGCTTCTCACATTTCAGTACATATATTTCGCACTTTAATGTTCTTGTAATGAGCGGTGAAGGTTTACATTCCATTCATACGTATGTGCCACCTCCAGAGACTTGCAAGAGGCCTACTAAACTGTCCTTTGAAGTGTTCGGTCCATCTTTCCGGTCGACGTTTTTGCGAGTAAATTAGTGAGCGGCCTCTTTCACTTATCGTTTCACTGACCGCTGCTTTCCTAGGGCCAGTCAATCGTACCAGTTGAAAAGGACACGACTGTTTAAAGTAGCCAAAGCCTTTTCCATCTTCCGTCCATCGGAGCTCTCGATCTTTCCGAACTTAACAGATGTGTCGATCTTTGCTTAGACTCGTCATTGTTTGGCGTTTGGGGGATTTGCAGCGCTGTAGTACTCTTGCGCGCTTGTATGGATATCCTGGCATCAATCATAGTGATCTCGACAACATCCAGCGGTCTTGTGGTCGAGTCGGAGAAGTCGGACAGGCAGCGCTGAACGCCGCCAACAGGGTTCGTTTCACATTTTGCCACGCCTCATCCACATACTCACTACCACTACATGGTTTACTGTGGAGAGTTGTTGGGTTAGCTCAGATCGATACTGTTGAGCAATGGTAGATTTTCAGAGACGATGGATTGGCGTGCTTCTTGCTGACCTGCGAGGACCCCAGAGAAGAACGAACTGTCGAGCGTGCACGCACCATGGCGTGCTCGGAATCACGTTGTGTGCTCCAGATGGAACGTAAATTTTGAATCGTAGCTCTCCACCGCTGGCTGATAGCCACGTGATCCAACTTGGTCCACGGTTGACTTGCACTTGGTGGTCACCAGGTTGCGCGATGCGAACGTCCGCCTTGAGAGTTCGTATTGGCCAGAAACGGTTGATGGTCAGTACACACTTGAGGGAGTTGCTCTCCGTTGTCTGTACGACGAGCGTCGACTCCAAATCGACCGTCCAAATGTGATTCCAAGGAGCTTAGATGACCGAATCAGGCATTTATATCGCCCGCAAGCATCACGTTATTCGTTTCGCTCGGCTAATGAACCCGGATAATTCTTGAGAGAAATTAACCCTCTCAGCTTTAGAACTACAGTCCGTTGGGGCGCACGGTGACACTACTAACAGATACCGTCTTTTGTGTCGAGAAACATTGAGCTTGATTAGGTTGGGTAACCGGATGGCGCAGAGATGACTGTTAACAGGGCCAAATCCGCCAAAGCGCGTTCAGCTCTGGGACTGAGTACAACTTCCACGACATACACTGCACGAGTCGCCTATCATGGACCACTGAATTCGCGGCAAAATATAATCGTCTAGCGAGATGGCTCAAGTGGTTAGAGCGCGAATTTACTGACCGGAAGGTCTGTGGTTCNATATTTAACACCCTTTCGGTGCCCATCTGCCATGCTACCAGAAGGAAGCACGCCGGCTGGAACACTGCCAGGTTGCCCAAGCCTAGACAGGGGAAGTCGGGAGGCAGAGGTCGGGTTCGAAATACGGTCCTTCCGGCCAGTAGATTCGCCCTTTAATCACTGGACCGTCTCGCGGTGGGGGAAATGCGAAAGTATCTGGCGTCCTGAGGTGCTGAGCGAGATGGCTTAAGCGGTTAGAGCACTAATTTACTGACCGGAAGGTCCATAGTTCGAACTCGACTTCTGCCTCTCGACATTCCCTGTCTAGGCTTGGGCAACCTGACAGTATCCCAGCCCTCGTGCTTCCTTCGGGTAGCGTGGCAGCTAGGCACCTGAAGGATGTTACAGTCGAACGATTCTTACGTTGGGTGATGTGCGGTCAACCGTTGGGCGATCGGTGTGTGCAGCTTTTAGGGCCGATCATTTCTAACCCGTCCTTCCTCCGCGGGAAGGCAGCATTGCTTCTCCCATGAATGTGGACATGCTGATCGCTTGGAGAGAACAGCTTACCGCCTTCACACCCCTAGCGCAGAGAACGGTACGACTTCTCGACTGCCTAGTGGTACGATTACTCGTAGTACAGAGTTTCGCTGATGTCGGTTTGACTGTTCCTCTTTGGCCTTCCTGGCATGGTACCGCATCGTGGAACGAAGTTCGAACCAGTGTGCCCCGCAGGATCATTGCATCACATAAGCCCAACGACAGTTGCCCAAGATTCAAGCAGTACCACGGTTCTGCCTAATATGCAGTGCTTCAGTAGACCTGATGGCGCCTTGCTACAGACAAAACTCCCGATATCGTGCAAGGACGTGTCAATCTCGTTCCAGTACGGATGGACATCTTACGATAAGGTAACTCGAAGAGGGTTCAGAAGAGTACCCTGATAAATCTGTTCAGTTTAGGTATTTGCTAGCCTATCAGTTGATACGCGAGGTGGCCAGCCCTAACGCGGCCCTGAAAAGCGGACAAACGGCTCCAGATGAGCGCATGGTCGGAATCCGCACAAATGTTTTAAAACGAGTCAGTCAGTATTTTCATAAAGGAAACTACTCACAAGGTTGCTGAAAACTCTTCGACAGCCCACGACCGGTTTCGCCCTTCTTGGGGCTCATCAAGTAGGCGCAGTCCCCGAGTTTCCCGAGCAGAACATCATAAACGAGAGATTCACTTGAGTCTCTCATGAGAACCAAATTGATTTGCAAACTAGTGAGTCAGTAGTTTATCCACGCCATCAGCAACTGATCGTGGTATAATCATTTTGGGTCCATCGCTGTGAATGTGTAGTTAGAGTGTGTAGTTAGATCGACCAAGTCCTGTAGAAGCCTATCTTGGCAGTCGATTCCTAGCTGACACTCGTCGCTCAGATATTGAAGGGCGACTTCTCCAGTTATGGATCGAACATCATTTGTTTCTAGTCAGCGCAAACCTTCAGGATAAGCTCCTGAATGACTTTGAGGCCACGCACTACAAATAAACTATAATTTCATTTGGACAATGTGGCGATTAACTACCCTTGGAGAGTTTCAATACCAGATTTTCGTTCAGTATACCGACTCATTTGACTTCGACCACAGCATTGTACGGGCACACCTATCTGCTCGCTTTCCCCACAGAACGGGTCGTTTGATGCAGTGGTATTCAGTTCGCCACCTGCAAACCGCCTCTGTAGCCCAACTTTATCTGTTTAAGTTCGCTGAGAAGCTCCCAAGACTTGACGGATATAATAGGGATTTGGATGACTGGAGAAACATGGGAGGTCATGATTACGGCTTTTGAAACCGTCTGCTAGAGGTCGCTGACACGCACCAATAAACACTGTATATCGTCACAATCAATAGCTTTGGTTGAAGGCAGGAAAACCATACCAGAAACAAACAACTGATGGTGTGCGCAGGTCCCTAAAATGCCAGATAATAAAGAGCGCTGATGAATTAAAGCGGACAAACGGCTCCAGATGAGCGCATGGTCGGAATCCGCACAAATGTTTTAAAACGAGTCAGTCAGTATTTTCATAAAGGAAACTACTCACAAGGTTGCTGAAAACTCTTCGACAGCCCACGACCGGTTTCGCCCTTCTTGGGGCTCATCAAGTAGGCGCAGTCCCCGAGTTTCCCGAGCAGAACATCATAAACGAGAGATTCACTTGAGTCTCTCATGAGAACCAAATTGATTTGCAAACTAGTGAGTCAGTAGTTTATCCACGCCATCAGCAACTGATCGTGGTATAATCATTTTGGGTCCATCGCTGTGAATGTGTAGTTAGAGTGTGTAGTTAGATCGACCAAGTCCTGTAGAAGCCTATCTTGGCAGTCGATTCCTAGCTGACACTCGTCGCTCAGATATTGAAGGGCGACTTCTCCAGTTATGTATCGAACATCATTTGTTTCTAGTCAGCGCAAACCTTCAGGATAAGCTCCTGAATGACTTTGAGGCCACGCACTACAAATAAACTATAATTTCATTTGGACAATGTGGCGATTAACTACCCTTGGAGAGTTTCAATACCAGATTTTCGTTCAGTATACCGACTCATTTGACTCCGACCACAGCATTGTACGGGCACACCTATCTGCTCGCTTTTTCCACAGAACGGGTCGTTTGATGCAGTGGTATTCAGTTCGCCACCTGCAAACCGCCTCTGTAGCCCAACTTTATCTGTTTAAGTTCGCTGAGAAGCTCCCAAGACTTGACGGATATAATAGGGATTTGGATGACTGGAGAAACATGGGAGGTCATGATTACGGCTTTTGAAACCGTCTGCTAGAGGTCGCTGACACACACCAATAAACACTGTATATCGTCACAATCAATAGCTTTGGTTGAAGGCAGGAAAACCATACCAGAAACAAACAACTGATGGTGTGCGCAGGTCCCTAAAATGCCAGATAATAAAGAGCGCTGATGAATTGCAAAAGTGCGGGAAATGGAGAAGTTTTGTGCAGCTGAGGACAATCGCACCTCGTTCCAAATAATCTGGTCAACTAGTACGATAACGGTGGGTGTTAGTGAAACCATCTCCGAAAAGCATGGGACCTCAGTTCATTCACCGAGGCTGAACAATGAAGAACAGCTCCCCTGGGCCCCATCAACTTATCTCATAAACCCTGGTGAAATGTCGACATTAGCCCGCCACCGACGACGAAAGTCCAACTTGCAATCTCACTGCTTCGGTGCAACAGAGCACCTGAACCAGACAGTTTGCACCCTGTAATCTCCAAAGAAGTTGGCGAGTCCGTCGTGGCTAACCTAATGACCCTACTCAAAAATGTCTGAATCGAAGAAAAAAGTCCAACACAGCTCCTCGATGGTGATTCTCATTCGAAAAAAGGTACAAGAACACTGTGCGAAGACCACCGGGGCATCAGCCTAGTGGCTATAGCCTCCAAGGTGTTCTGTGGCATTATCGTGCACAGGTTGACCAACATCGGGAGAGTCGGGTTCGCGAGAATCAAGCTTTGTTTAGCTCTGGCCAGGGTCGCATTGATCATATCTTCAATTTACGACAAGCGTTGGAACTGTGCCACTCCCTTCGATGACCAAATTGATCATCTGTCTGGATCTCGGATTTGCTTTTGGCATCGATCGTCAGAAACTGTGGCAGTGTTCGGCAGTGTCTCCCTCCTAAACATTTGTCTCTTATAAAAGCTTTTTAAGACTCCCTTGGGGGCATTCGTAGCTATGGCAAATGCGCTTCTGAGTTCATCACATCCAGTGGCCTCAGACAAGGCTGCCCTCTGTCGCTCTTTCTCTTCAACTTCGCGATCGATTTTTTGCGTAGGTCGTCTTTACCAGTCTATAACACCTCAGAGATCGAAATCACGGATAATATGTATGCCGAAGATATTACTCCTCTAGGATCAGACCCTTTGTAATAACCTTTGGAAATAACCTAGGTACTTCTACCGCGCAGTTCGGAACACATCGTACCTGTAAAGTGCCACTGGAAGATTGGCTGGGTTGAGATCCAGATGTCGTGTTTACAGATGAGCCGATCGATGTGGGAAGCTGAATAAGTCCTGCCGAACTAGCACCGTTTGCTAGCCCCCGAGATTTGTGGCGCCGGTGTTACAACTTGATTGTCGAGGGTACAGTGTGCAGTGCCGCGGTCCAATCGGTCTTACTTTATGGATGAGAGACATGGCCGCTGCATTTAAAAGACCTTAGACAGCCCTCTGTGTTTTATCATAGGTGCCTTCGAATGATTGTGTGAGTCTGGTCAGTAATGCTGAGGTACGCCAGATGGTTTTCGGGGATTTTCATTCTCTTGCGACAAGTCAGCTGGTTACTATCCACGGGTAACGTTAGTTACGCCATGTGCTTCGTATGCAAGAGAACCGCTTGCGTCGTAGAGTCCTCTTGATTCAATCTTGCACCGCATTGAGACGACCCAGAGGCTAACAGTTTATGACGTGACAACGAAGCGTAAACTCAGTCGCGTTGGTAAATTCCGTCTTCCCTGATGGGGACTGCGGGACAAGACTAATCAGTGGTTAGTGATCCTGGCAGCTATGGCTGCGTCACGCAGCCACGGCAGTTTCTCATGAAAGCTATCGCCTTCACAGTGTAGCTCTCACATCATGGCATAACGGATAATAAGAAATCTTCTGTTTGTCTTCAATGCACAGATTGGACTATCGTTTCGAACACGTGGCTCTCACCCCATTATTCTCCTTATCCTCAGTAAGTGAGACTGTAGCAGTTGAAACCATTGCATTTGGTTGCACTGTTTGCGAGCTCAGAACTGAATGAACTGAACTAAACTGGCGAATCCCTAAATTCCTAAGGACTTGTGTATCAGTCTATGTTACAGGTTGTTTCGTTTTACGGCTGAGATGTGGCCTCTTCGAATGGCATAACTGAGACGTCTTTAGGTCTTCAACAACTTTGTCTCAGAACTATAGCTCGTGCAGACTGATATCAGCGAATCCTCGACGAGGCAGTCGGTCATTTGTGCAACGGGGACTTCAATTAGAGGTGTTCAGCATCAGAAGCTGCGGTGGTTAAGCAGCTTATTGCGCATGCGCAAAGCGCTGCTAGGAGACTGTTTTGAACCATACTCATATATACCGTTTTCAGATGGATCAATCGATGTCGATTGTTTATCTGTACAGTTACATTAGTCCAGGCAGTATGACCGAACGCCAAGTAGCTCTTCGGAATGAGAAGGCCAGGGTGGTGTTCGTCAATTTGCGACATCTATGGCGTTGTCGTGAAATCGGTTGGCGTCAAGGGCACCATAGAACCACGCTTCTACATTCATCATCCCATGTTTCTTTTGAGATCACCGGATTAGTGCTGCTGATATCCGTCTCATGTCTAGAAAAGAAAGAAAGAACAGTTTGGCGAGGGCGGACCATGACCCGGCTACGCCAGATGAAACGGATACTGTCACGTTGAGCGCGTGCAGTCTTTACACTACCTGGTGGGGTCTACTTGATCCCCTTGCGCGTTGATAGAAACCTTACAGGACGACGCAACCAGTCTCAGTTTTCAGCCCGTCTTAGGCGGACTAGTACTTGGTTGTCGTTGTGCTCTTGGCTTGTTTTGGATGAGGTTCGCAAAAGACCGTGAATCAGTCCCGCTAGTGGCAACCTGATGTTCAGGTGAGTTGAGTTCAGCAATTTTGAAGAGTGTAAGCGCCTTGCTCCTGACCTTTTTCTCTAGGGACATTGGGATTTTTAAAATATGCCTCCAATTCTCACCTTTCTTTTTACCTTTCACTAGGGCTTTCCTCTGTGGTTGTATGATGGTTAGGCACATGTTTTCACTACTAGTGTATTGTTGTCCATAGTGGTGATAATAGTTGTCTCACAGAGCTACCTAAGTTCAACAATGCTCAAAGTGAGAGCCGTTTGTCCAGAGACCAGTCGATCCTCATAACCGAACGTCATGTCCGTGGGACGGATATGTCAAGTGCGGGCTACGGACCAAACTATTGGTCAGGATGTCAGCCAATCTTGATCAAGCATCTTCATCTCGATGCTTCTCCTCCCCTCAAGGAGATTCTAGCACGGCCCTGTGAACATTCTGTGATGGCCCTATAATACGGTTGCAATAATCTTCCTTTGTCTCCATAGAGGGCTGTCTGAAGCTACCGCGCCTAGGCCCGATTGAAACAAGATCTCAACAAAGCCTATGGAGTAAGATGCGACATAAACGTAATACACAAATAGAACCACCCAGGAAGTCGATTTGACCTAGCGGATAGCTTGCCTGCCATCCGAGTGTTCAGATTTTGATCCCTGGTGGACCAGTTTTCCCATCAGCGCAGACACTAGGTAGAGTTGATACGAAATTGCAATCGAAGGTGGACGGGGGAAAAATCCTGACAGTAATTAGAGCAAAGACCCGGAAAACTAATACCAAGTAAGACGATGGTGGTCGTTGGCTTGTTCGCTGAGCTGGGCAATTTGATTGCAAACGTTTCATCACCAATCGAGGTGACATCATCAGTGCGTTATTGTGAAGCGTAGTAGTGCGCACCGGTGGGTTGGTGGTTGTGCACAACCATCTACGATACCTGAGCTACCAAAATTTTCCTCTAAAGTAAGACGATGTTAAAATAGACAGGTGTAGGTCACGCTACTCATGAGTAGTCAAAAACTAGCGAAATAGCTGCCGATCATCGTTGGTTCGCGCGAAGAGTCGGCAGCGGTATTGTACAGATTAAGCGTGTTTGGAACCAGATTTTCATCTGTGGTCCTGAACACTGCCATCGGCGTTCACACTGTTGACTGTGGCGCTGGAGAGGATCTGAAGTATTCGAATTAGGTTGACATTTTCAAATGGGTCAGCCAGCAAAACCCAAGTCAACCACTCGGTTTTGGTCCCACTCTAGTAATATTTGATCCGGACACAACTAGCTTGGTGCTGTCATTGGGTAATTAGGCCGTTTCACTCGTGTTACTGTTCGTACCAGGTGGTGCTCTTTGTCCGGCATATCCTTGAGTTACCCGTTTCTCCCATCGTTCTCAATCTAGCTGAATATGAAGATGGGTTTGCGTGATACTGGACCGCTGTTTACCCACGTTTCTGAGCCTGCGGACTGCAGTTCCTCTTCCTGTCCACCTTCTGCAACTACTTCAGAAGAGTCGGGACAAGAAGGATATCTTATTCTAACATTCGATAAGTCAAAGCGGGCGCGGCTGAAGACAGCTATTTTTGCAGATGTCTCCGACTGTCGCTTTGCCGATGAGTACGTTTCATGCAGTTACTATTGTAACCGTTTTTTGTGTCCCATTCACATTTTGGATGTTTGCTAAGACAGACCCATGCACTGCGACTGCTCCTTGGGGTCATTGCTCTGCCGATTAGTGCCGTTTTCGGTTATTTTTATATATTCATTATGTAGTATTTATATTTTGTATTTTTATATATCACATATATTATATATTATTTATATTTATATTTTATATCTTCATTTCAGTATTTATTATATGATGACGTACGTGTGAGGATTGAAACGTAATAACACGATTTCCGTAGATCCAGTATTTCTACGCCTGAAATTTGAGTGTTACACTGGCTTTTGAATACCTTTTTTGCTTCTGCAGTTTCGGTTTCTATGGGTGGGTGTCAGTCATTATTCTGTCATGCCAGGCTCTCGGGCTTCTCCTCGCGAGTCTGATATGGCTGATCACCTTGGGTTTGTTTGGTTCGGCTGCCGGTTTCCGTTTGCACGGAACGGTGTCTCACATTCGCGCTCTCCAGAAGTCATCTGGACCGTTCAGTTCATAGTTAAATATATATGGTAGCAGGCACGATTTTAATTCGTACTTCAGGCATTCTCCTTCTGACTGAAACTCAGGTTTCCTCCCACGTTCAGTTTCCTGCTCCATCTTTGTCCGGTTTCGTTTCATGAGCAGCCTGTGTCCACGCTCACTCTTTTCATGCGGTTGTGTCCATTTTTCGTCGGTCTTTCTCCCGGTTATCAAACCTTGTGGTTTACTTTCGTTTGTTCGTTCGAGAACAAGCATTGTTACTGTGTTTCGAAAATACGTCTCTTTTTGACTTAATTTCAAAGTCATCCGATTTTATTTAGTGTTCTTGTGTCCTTGATGCTTCCCATTATCACAGACATGGCCCGGTCGCGCCTTCAATGGCACTCGTGCATCAAAGTTTTTGCGTTCAATGCATAGCTCCTTTTCCCCCCCCCCCCCACTTGACAGCCCACTGACAGTGCTGGATTTATGCACCAATTTACCAGCTCGCGAGTGCAATGCGCAGCTACCTCCCCCCTCTCCCCAAATCATCGGTGAACGAAACTGCGGCAGCTACGACCACTGTACGACGAGTACGCGGTTCTTACAACTGACAATGATGATGATGATTATCACATCAAATATTGGCCTCATCCTTCATCAGTTGTGGACACCGTAGGGGCTTTTTGCCCCAAATGCATCGCAACTTATTGAATTTCCAACCCATATCTTTAACGCAGACACAGGTGATACGCATTTCTCAAATTTCTCCTAGTATGTTGTTTACTCTGCTTTCCTACTTTCTTCCAACCATTATGTTGTATTGTTTTCCGGCCCTACCAGTTTCATTCTCTGTTGAGGAAGAGATTCTGGAATAATTCATCGGGAATTCGGAGTGACGTGTGACTATGTTCTGCCTACGATTGGGATGCCGTGACCTCGAAAGATAATTTAGATGACCTGACTTGGGTTCTTACGGATGTCACTTTTTATCGTTTGCCATTCCAAATCTGTTAAACTGTTTTCTTCCTAGTTCTCCAGAGGGGCGAAGAAAAAGAGTAGCTTATGAAATGATTGGCGGCAGCACCCTTGCTTGTTTTTCTTTCCCTTTACTGCAAAAAAGCTTTAGTAAAACGAATAACAGCTTCCACATCATCAGAAAGCCCCTCATTTTGAAGTCTTGGTCGTTTCTTTCATCCTACCTTATCCTACATTGGTATAATAACATCTTTCTCTGAGGAGAAAGGTGGATTGTTGACACAGTCATTTCCTGCTTCAAACGCTCTTGTCGGTATTTGTAAACCAGATTTTTTGTCCAGAAAGTTCTCCAGGTCCTGCGGGCCTACGCAAGCTTCTAGATAAAAAAAATAGCCCTCCGATTCTCCTAGAGAAAAGGTGCGCCGGAGCGGCTACCTATTGTCACAGGACTTTGATTGTTTTTCCAGCACTCCTGTGTTTCGCTTTGGATGGAGAAAGCTTCATCATTATCATCGACAGCACAACGTTGGTGTTCGACATTGAAGCTCCACTGCCGTACAACCTGAAAAGCAGGCTTCGACGTCAACCTCAAAGATGATATAGTCATAGTTTCGGAGATAAGCAAACAAAATAAACTGCAACCCTCCAAGAACTATTGGCATTCATTTTCCTCTTCAATCTTGACTTCCTAATCATTCGACTCCAAAGTTTTACACCTTAATGTTCCCATCCTGGTTTTGCCTTCGGTAATCTGTCTTGGTGGGAGCAAATAAAATATCTACCTCCAGTGCATCCGAAATTAGTTTTCGCTCCCTTTATTCAATGCCTCCCAAAGCCTAGACTTACCAGTGCTTGAATATTGTTCGTAATTCTGGTTCACTCTGACCAGTTGAATTGGATAAGGTAACAAGCCGTCCTCCCCGTCACTGGCTGACAGGCTGCAGTCTCAAGCTCACCATGACCGTTCCCCACTTTCTGCGAAACTAGTTACTATTTTCTGGTGGCTGTTCTTCATCATCAGACTGAAATTCCCTCCTCACTATTCTTTCCCAGGACAACAAAACTATGGCACTTTTGCTATCCGTCTTCCACATCTCTTAGCACTTCCCCCTTCAGGTCATGTATTAGCAGTTGTTTACCATTACGAGTGTTTTCTTAGTAACTTTGTGGTGTCGTAAATTTCTGTTTCTTTTGGGAAGTGGGGTGTTCTTCCGAATCGAGGTTTATTCCACGCGTTCTCTGTAATGAAAAAAGTATAATACTTAAGGTACTTTTACTTCAACAATATTTCAGGTCCCACCACTCATTTAGCACCGTTAACTGGCCTAGTAGTGCGTCAGTATAATAGGAAGTTACCTGATTCATTACATTCACCCAGCCAATGCAGTTCAACTCGGTTTCATTTCCTCGGGCTTGTGGTAGCTCAGTGGTTAAGGCGCCAGCTCACGGACTTGAGGGTTTGTAGTTCGAACCCAATCTCAGCATCTCGACAGCTCCTGTCTAGGTTCGGGCAACCTGGCAGTATCCCAGCATTCATGCCCTCTTCCGTGGGCATGGCAACTAAGCACCAAAAGCTGAACAGTGAAGATTCATTTTCTTGTTGCTTGATTTTCACCTACCTGGTACACTTGTGAGCGCTTCCTAGTCACCAGCATGATGTCTTTCGGCGTTGATCAGAAGAATGAGAATGAACCGCCTTGGTTAACTCATACTGATATATTTCCAGGTTCGGCGTGCTTGTGGTACAATAAAAGTTTTGTATAGAATTCCTATGTCATGCTTGGCGATCATTCGCAGATTAGCAGTCGTATAATTTTCCTACGACGGATTCCATGAAATTCGCGTCGATTGCACAGCGTTCCTGGTACCTAATACACTGAAGCCCTTCCATAAGCTAATCTACTTTCGCACAGGACCTGCAGTATATATTCACCGATTGTTTTTTAAAAATTTTCTTGTGGTTATTTATCTGTTCTTATTTTAAACGTACCAACAGTATCAATACAGTGTTCTCGTAATCGAGGTCTTCACCGGTTTCACTCGTTGGTTGTCCACTCGTATATTAAGAAAGTGACAACGGTCTTGTGTCCTTATCTGTTTCCCTAGAAGAAACTGCTCGGCTCAAGTAGGTGTCTTTTTCTCCATGTGCTTTTCCAGTCGTGTCTATGGTTCAGTCGTTGTCTTGCAAGCTTTTCCGTTCTTTCAATCACTGCATGTTTTTGTGGATGCAGGGATCATTAACTTCCCATGTTCAGTCTTTTCTGCAAAGCGTGATAGGGTATCTCATCCTTTCGCATGCTGGTCTCAAACATTTGGTTGGAGTGCAACTGTCACTGCATGAACCTGGTTCGTAAGTCGTTTCTCCCACTGACCAAGAAGCATTCTGATTGGTCTAAAAAAACAGTGCACGCAACCTCTTAGAGTTCCGTTCATGTGATCTATACACTGGACACTGGTATGTATTACTGATGTATTAACATCACTGGCGATGGTGATGAGTGAAACGATATTGAAACACTCCCATTTCCACATCGTGTAAATCAAACAGGGAACTCATTAGATACCTAGTCTCGATCAGTTTTGCGCAAAGTTGAAGTGGAAATTGCCTTCACTCCAAACTGCACGTTTGTGAACTCTCTTGGGTCGTCCTCGAAAAAAATTCAATATTTAAAAACCATTTACGGTGCTCGATCATCGTTGTGGTCACCACAAACAGTACCATCATTTCCATTATCTTATAACCACAGGAAGTTTGTTTTGCCTACCGAAACGCAAAAATGGGGAAGAAGTACTTGGATGATGAGACAGCTGCTCGTGACGTCTTCAGTTTCCCGCACCCCTCTGAAAGTCTGTTTTCCTCTTTTCACATTAGTCTGCAGTCATCCCCTACGACACACACCTAGTCAACCGTCACTCGACCGCTTCAGAGTTTGCCATCCTCGTTACAGTCATGCATTTTTGATCTGTGGGTCACTCGCCAGTGGGGCGAGATCGCCCAAGTGGTTAGAGCGAGAATTTACTGACCGGAAGGTCCGCGGTTCGAATCCGACCTCCGCCACTCGACTTCCCCTGTCTAGGCTTGGGCAACCTGGCAGTATCCCAGCCCTCGTGCTTCATTCGAGTGGCATGGCAGCTAGGCACCGAAAGGGGTGCTACAGCTGAACACTGAACGGTACTATTAACATCAGAAAGAAGATGGGTTTGCCAAAAGGGATCCCAGTCGTTTACCTCGTCATCAATCATCATCCATCATCATTAGCACATCAGAGGTGGCAACATCGCTGGTGACACTGATGCTTCACTGCCGTACAACCGTAAAGTTTATCTAATCACGTTTTAAGCCTTAGGGTGAAAAGAAAGGGAAAAGATTAAGTAAGGGAGGGGATTTAGTGCTGGCCCATATCAAGCATTCTGAGGTGCCTACAACCTCCAAGCGCTTAATCAGAACATCTGGAAACAAACTGACAGCGCGAACGCCACTGACTGACCACTGGACACTGGTATGTATTACTGATGTATTAACATCACTGGCGATGGTGATGAGTGAAACGATATTGAAACACTCCCATTTCCACATCGTGTAAATCAAACAGGGAACTCATTAGATACCTAGTCTCGATCAGTTTTGCGCAAAGTTGAAGTGGAAATTGCCTTCACTCCAAACTGCACGTTTGTGAACTCTCTTGGGTCGTCCTCGAAAAAAATTCAATATTTAAAAACCATTTACGGTGCTCGATCATCGTTGTGGTCACCACAAACAGTACCATCATTTCCATTATCTTATAACCACAGGAAGTTTGTTTTGCCTACCGAAACGCAAAAATGGGGAAGAAGTACTTGGATGATGAGACAGCTGCTCGTGACGTCTTCAGTTTCCCGCACCCCTCTGAAAGTCTGTTTTCCTCTTTTCACATTAGTCTGCAGTCATCCCCTACGACACACACCTAGTCAACCGTCACTCGACCGCTTCAGAGTTTGCCATCCTCGTTACAGTCATGCATTTTTGATCTGTGGGTCACTCGCCAGTGGGGCGAGATCGCCCAAGTGGTTAGAGCGAGAATTTACTGACCGGAAGGTCCGCGGTTCGAATCCGACCTCCGCCACTCGACTTCCCCTGTCTAGGCTTGGGCAACCTGGCAGTATCCCAGCCCTCGTGCTTCATTCGAGTGGCATGGCAGCTAGGCACCGAAAGGGGGGCTACAGCTGAACACTGAACGGGACTATTAACATCAGAAAGAAGATGGGTTTGCCAAAAGGGATCCCAGTCGTTTACCTCGTCATCAATCATCATCCATCATCATTAGCACATCAGAGGTGGCAACATCGCTGGTGACACTGATGCTTCACTGCCGTACAACCGTAAAGTTTATCTAATCACGTTTTAAGCCTTAGGGTGAAAAGAAAGGGAAAAGATTAAGTAAGGGAGGGGATTTAGTGCTGGCCCATATCAAGCATTCTGAGGTGCCTACAACCTCCAAGCGCTTAATCAGAACATCTGGAAACAAACTGACAGCGCGAACGCCACTGACATCGATCAGCCGCCAATTTTTGCAGTCTCCATTTTGATCACAGTCTATCTTTAATGTCGAGGGGTTACTACTGCTTTTCTATATCGCCTCACGAACACAGCTTTGACGCATACAGACATATTGACACGATCATGCGTGAACACATCCATCCCTGGAGAAGTATCCCTGAATAAATAACTGAAAATACACAATCAAAAGCTTCCTGCTTGTTACCACCCTTGTTGCCGTATAGTGTGGGTCAATTTGTCCACTGTTAGCCAATAAAATCTTATACTCGCTGTTAAGAGATGTGTAGGGGAGTGCAACTAGCATGTTGCAATCGCACATTCTATTCGTCGGCTTGTGTTACGCTCTGAGTCAATTGCTTATGTGAATTACCTTAACCACTTTTATCTCCACAATAGGTGGTTCTGTTTTTTGATGGGCTATCGTTAATGACTGTTGTTGGCAATTATTTTTACAAGCCTACGTGGAAATGTTCATTTTTATAACCGTTTTGTTTAGCTATTCATCCATTCGACAGCTCTTACCAGCACTCTCGTTTGCTGAATTTTTATTAGTTTCGTGTGTACTGAGCTAAGCTTGTATTTATCGTGCATGTTGTGACCTTCGTTGTTGCATCTGGTGCATGCCATCCAAAGTGGTCAGGTTGATAGTCCCTTTTTACCGTACTTCCTGCCTCTTACGTCTTTCCAGCTTCGATGAAGATGGTGTTGGTGATGAGGACAGCGAACTTCTCTACAACTGGCCAAACAATAGTGATTCAGATGGCACGAAAACAAATCCAGTTATTCCTCCCGCAACTTCGGTGACCTCCGAAAATGATTTAACGCCGACCTCCGATGATGCGACACGTAATGACTCGGGCTGTTACGGTGAGGTTGTTTGGGTTGGTCATGGTGAAGCGACTGAGAACGAGTTGCAACCTGTTCCGGTCTCAAACAAATCGACAACCTCTGCTAATCTACCCGCAGAAACGCATAGACTCATCCGTACAAGCCCAATCACAAAACGAACGCCAGAAAATTTGTGCGTAGTTCGTGTCCCGCAGTTGTCACCAGCGAAGTCGACGAACGATCCACGATCTATCCGTCCAAGTTTGTCAGATTCGTTTCGTTTGTCACCGCGTACTCCAGTCAATGGAGTGCGCATTGAACCGATTCAGCAACGACCTCTGGGCGTTTCTGCCCGTTGGACAAATAGGCTGCTCTCAAAGTCCGGTTTCCCCCATTATTTCTCACCCTCTTCAAAACTCCGTTCCAGCGGGTTTCTCCATACCGGGTTCTCCTCATCAACCGGTTCATACACAGATGACGGTGAGCCAGGAGATGATAAATATCCGCGCAAAATGTTACGTTGTGATGCTTGCGGAAAGTACTACCGAAACGAATACAGCTTACATCATCACATCTGCTTAAGACGCAAGGATGTTTGGAAGAAAGGTGACGTCCCGTCAGACGTTGTGGACGGTCAACTGGTGTACTTTTGCCCAACTTGCCACAAACCGTTTAAATGGCTCGGTAATCTAACCCGACACTTCTATGTGCACACTGGCCAGCGGTTTTTCAAATGTGACATATGTTCGAAGGAGTTTTTCTCGGCTTACCAAGTTAAACGACACATGAACTCGCACACCGGGAGACGATTCAAATGTGAGGTTTGTGATAAACCGTTTACATGCAAATATGCATGCGCTTGGCATACCAGACAACATTACACCTATGCTGAGTAGCTTACCTGTTGCTTAGCCACTGCTTCCACGAAAGTGTACATCTTGGTTGTGCTCCCATCCCCTCAACCCCCACTTGACTTCCCTTGTCTTCCACCTTTGTCTACTGCTATTTTTTACACAACACCTCACAATTTTAATACTTTGTGATTTTCTACCACTGCTATTACGACTGACTCGCCTTAGAAAAGGACACGAACTCCAACTGAGCCACATGAGTTTTACTCCGGCTCAAGACTCTATGTTCTTTTATTCTCAGTTTGATTTTCTCCCGTATTCAGGTCTGACGTGTTCTATCAGTCGCTTGTGGGGAAGCCCCTGTTCCATAGCTCACAATGGGCTTTTTCATTGCTCAGTTGTTTTACCATACTCCAAATATCTCTTCCTACAGAGCTGCTCAACTCAACCCGCATGCGGGTGGTTCCCAGTGAGTCTGAAAGGCTGTTTAAAAGCTCTATCAATAGTTTCTGGCTCTTGCCAGTTTGTATCTGTACATATACCTACACATATATTTTTGTAGGGTCGTTCCACATGCTATCCGCAGTTTTCGTGTCAAGTCGCTCAATGGCTATGCACTGATTGCTGCCATCGCTGCCTTTCATGGTTTCCCATTTGAATTCGCATGCATCGATGGGCTTCCTAAATGTGCCTTGACTTCTTGTATGTAATACGTTCATTTAGTGTTTTTCCTATACTGACCGCTACTACAACCGTTGCCTTTACTGTGTCGATTGTTATGTTTCCCAATGAGATTGGCATGTTCTGCTCGAACTCTTTCCTTTTTGTCGATTTTTCATGGAGCGATTGGTCCACCCCCCAAGGAGTAGATTCACTTCGGGATCACTTCAAGGAATTTTTCCTAACACTGTTTGCCTATGTGACTAACTATTCTGTAGCCTAGGTGAACGAAGATGTATCGGCTGAAATCACCGCACTCCGACGCACTGTTTGTTAACTGACACCCCTTTTTACCGGTGCTTTGGGGTCATATCGTAATTCTTGAAGGTCGTGTGATCCGTTCCCAATTCCGAGTGACTGATAAAAGTGGCACGTTTGTGAAACAGTGACCATGCCATGTTGCAATGGATATATGCTGCACAATGAACAGCAGACACTTATGGGAATAGCCAACTATCCCTAAGTGGAAGGTATTTTTCCTTGGACTTCCATGGGTATTCGTTTTAAGTGCTTGGTTGGTGTCCGGGTCCCCCTCACGAGTCCGAGCACTAACAATTAAGGTTAGTCACAACAGTGCATGCATTATTTTGGGTAGTTTACTGATGCGGTGCTCTGAACATTTGTCAATAGGCGTTGCCACTCGGATATGCTAGGCAAGATGGCTATGCCGATATTCGAATATCTTCGGCATACCTGCTAGTCTGGTTCAGCTGGCACTCCATATTCGCTCGTTAGTGCACAAGCCCCGTATCTAGAATGGTTCGTCACTTCTCGTTCTTTGCACTAAACGACAAACTTTGAGCAATGGATCTGATGACCTATTGAGACCACGTACCTCAAGCGTTTACTCGCTTCCTTTATCTCGGCTGCTTACTGTCGCTGGGAAATAACTCAGCTGGGTGAGTACCGTGTACTGCACTCCCCTGCGAGTTCTGCGCAAATGGCGAGTTAGTCTTACTGTTAGCGTTGGACACCGTGGATGGGATGCAGGCCAAGGTGGTCGACGTCCGCTTCGGCGGGGTCTTCAGTTGGCCCCTCCTTTGAGTGATATCGCCAACCATGAAACAGATCCGGGTTGAGAACCTACCTCACAAGTGTTTGACTAGGTTCCAACAAACTCAATTCATTATATTTCAGAGGGCTTTAGACGTTGCCATCGTGCTCTCTAGTGAAGGCGATCATAAAGGTGCAATTACTTGAGCTTCTGGGCATACAATAAACCTTGGATCTAGGAAACACCATTTTGCAAAAAGGCCATCTTGGCTGCTTTCTGATGGCCAACTCGGTCAAAATTTTGGATCATTAGTTTTATATGCTCCTAACGCGATCTTTTAGCTTATGTCTATTATGCGTAGGCGCAAGAACAAGGTAGCGTAACACTTGTTGGTGCCGATCCTCTACATGGCGGTGGCAGCTCGGGGTTTGTTCATCATCATCATCATCAGACAGCAACATCAGTGTTGGCACTGATGCTTCACTG